ATATCTTAATAAAGTTGTTTTTAAAAAAGTATAGAATGGTCCTCAAACCAAAAAAGTTGACACCTATTTTTAAAAAGAAAAGTGCTTCCAATTAAACTATATATGTGTTCTTATCATTTAGATTTTTTTTTTTTTTTGAGGCGGAGTCTTGCTCTGTTGCCCAGGCTGGAGTGCGGTGGCGCAATCTCTGCTCACTGCAACCTCCACTTCCTGGGGTTCAAGTGATTCTCCTGCCTCAGTCTCCTAAGTAGCTGGGACTACAGGCGCCTGCCACCACGCCTGGCTAATTTTTTTGTATTTTTAGTAGAAGCGGGCTTTTACTGTGTTAGCCAGGATGGTCTCGATCTCCTTACCTGTGATCTGCCTGCCTTGGCCTCCCAAAGTGTTGGGATTACAGGCATTAGCCACCACGCCCGGCCCATTTAGAATTTTTAAAATATCTGTTGTATGAGCTCTTTTAGACTTTTCTAGGCATAAATTATTATCTTCCTTCTGCATAAATAAAAATATAAGCAAAAATAAATTTAAGCAGTTCCTAAAAATATTTAAAGCAAATGTTTAAGATTTTGAAAATTAAACAGAAGATTCATAACATAATGAAGTGAAGCTTTACTTGACACTTTGAATACTTAAAATGTAAAACTATTTATATTATTGATTGTTATAGGGATCTCCATCCACCAAGAGAAGGGGTCAGATGTTACAGCCAATCATAGAAGGAGAAACTGCACATTTTTTTGAAGAAATCAAGGTAATCCTTTAAAGAAATAATTATCTAATCCCTTCCCTAAGGGAAAAGTTCGAAGACAAGACATGTTTAATTCTCTGTTTGGATATCTTTTTAGGAAGAAGAAGAAGATGGTGTTAATCTGTCCTCTGAGTTAAGTGATATCTTGAAAACTGCAGTACAGGTACAGTCTTCATTAGAAAACTCTGAATCTGATGTTGAAGAAAATCAAGAAAAACTGGCTCTGGATCTCCGATTGTCAAGTTCTCGAGCAGCTTCTATGTATGTATGCTGATTTGTGATTTTAGCCTATTTTTATGATAAAACGTATATGCCAAGAAATTTGATGTTAAATGAGCATTAAGGAATTAATAGGAGATAAATCAAGATTTATCAAAGGATGCATGCTTTTTAAGTGTGATTTACAAATATTTATTGTCATTCCCATTTTTAAATAAAACATCACTGTGTTTCAAAAATTTAAAAAAAAAAATCTAGCCAGGCACAGTGGCTCATGCCTATAATCCCCGCACTTTTTGAAGCTGAGGCAGGAGGATTCCCTTGAGGCCAGGAGTAGAAGACCAGCCTGGGCAACATAGACCCAGACTCTATAAAAAATTTTTAAAAATTAGCCAGGGGTGGTGGCGTGCATGTGTAGTCCCAGCTACTTGGGAGGCTGAGGCAAGAGGATCGCTTGATTCTCTGTTTGGAGGATATTGAGGGCACTGTCGCACCACTGTGTTCGAGCCTGGGCGACAGAGTGAGACTCTGTCTCTAAAAAAGCAAACAAACAAAATCCTACAGTTGATTTATAACAAAGTACAGGAACTAGTTGCGAGTTGATCTTTTTGTTCAATATCCACTTCTTTACCTTTGGATGATATGGTATATGTCACTGGTTCTGAGCCCTGACTTCACTGGGAAGATTTTAAAGTACTGATGCTTGAATCCTTCAGCTGTTCTGATTTCATTGGTTTGCAGTGGAGCTTAGGTATTGGTAGAGCTAAGAGTTCCCCAGCCGCTTTTAATTTGCAGCCAGAAATGGAACCTCTCTTAAGAATATAATGAATCATGTGTGCCCTTCAGTATTTTCTTACCATTTCAATTCTAGGCCTGAATTACTGGAACAACTTTGGAAAGCCAGAGCTGAAAAAAAGAAACTACGCAAAACGTTGCGGGAATTTGAAGAAGCATTTTATCAACAAAATGGAAGGTTTGTTGAGCATCACAAAATTGAGTCATCTTTCTCCTCTAACTCACAAGTTGACCATATGTTGAAATAATGGAATACGTGGGGTTAGAAATTGTGCATATAGGATGCTAGCACTGAAAAATTTTAAAACATTCCTTTATGCTCCGAGGCCCTGCTTTTAATGGCCAGGAATAGTCACAGCTAGTGTAAACAAATCTGATTAACTATTTTCAGATTGTCCTAGGGTGCCTTGGTTGTACTGCAGTGATTTTATATTCTTTAATTCTACATCCTTACACTTTTGGGAGTGGTTGTGAAATGAGATACCTCTTATTTTAGAAACGATCCCATGACAGGAGTGGTATCCTCAACTAGTTTGGATTTTTTATCTTATACTGAGACCATTGTGTTCATACTGTGTGTTGAGGCTGCCCATTTCCAAGGTGTGTAACAGTGTGCCAGGCATGTGGCTCCTATAATACAGTATGGCATGTGCCTTTATCTAACTAGGTAATGCACAATGGCTTGGAAGGGCTCTTTTAAAACTAAGAAAAATACATTCCAGTTCTGATGGTGGCCAGAAGTTTGGGTTTAGTTATCTCAGGCCTGAGAAACATTTTTCTAAGTAGCTGGGTTATCTTACCAAGCTGATAGCTAATACTACAAATTCTAAAATATCTGTACTCTAATTCCCTTTGCTTTGTGAGTCTCCTATATAGGTTGGCACATATGGTTAAAAATAATCTGAAGTGGGCTGGGCACAGTGGCTCACGCCTGTAATCCCAGCACTTTGGGAGGCTGAGGCGGGCGGATCACGAGGTCAGGAGATCGAGACCATCCTGGCTAACACAGTGAAACCCCATCTCTATCGAAAAATAAAAAATTAGCTGGGCGTGGTGGCGGGCACCTGTAGTCTCAGGTACTCCAGAGGCTGAGGCAGGAGAATGGCGTGAACCCAGGAGGCGGAGCTTGCAGTGAGCTGAGATGGCGTCACTGCACTCCAGCCTGGGTGACAGAGCAAGACTCTGTCTCAAAAAAAAAAAAAAAAATTGAAGTGCAGAAATGCATTTTTCTAAGTGTCTTCTATTTCATTGTATTATTGGAAGAAAATTTTGCTTATAATTAGAATAGTTTGATTCTTTAGCTAGTGATTAAACTGAATTGCATTGGGTCATTACTATAAAGTTAGAAAATTGTTCTTGTTGCAGGTAAGATAATTTACTTTTACATCTCAGTTCACTGGAGCCACAGTTAACTAAATGTATTAAATGACTCAGTGTAGCCTCCAACACTTAATAGATATTCACAGACCTGGCAGAGTCTAGTGCTGGATGTCCTACTAAAATATTGGGTTTCCTACAGTTATCTAAATTGATTATTTGTAAGTATAGCATCATTTAATCTATAAGTAGAGAAGTCCATCAAAAATTTTAGAAATGTTCCTTGGGGATGAGGGTATTAGTCCAGTAACTTTTTTTTTTTTTAAACGGAACAACTTTTTATTTGAACTTATATTTAGTATATAACAGTATGTCTCATATTAAGACAACTTTCGGATCTTTTTTTCCAAATGATCTTTAGAACATTACAAATGTTATTTTCTCCCCTAGGAATGCCCAGAAAGAGGATCGTGTTCCAGTGCTTGAGGAGTACAGGGAGTACAAGAAAATTAAAGCCAAGCTTAGGCTTCTTGAAGTTCTTATAAGCAAGCAAGATTCTTCAAAATCCATATAAAATACGTTCTTTGAAAATTCATATCATAAAGTCAGTTGTATTCCTTGAAGCTATCATCATGGGTACTTGGCTGGTACTTAAATTCATTTTGTCAGGCACTCAGAGAATCTCATTTTGTACTTGGTTGTGGTGCCAGTAAACAAAACAAATGATGGGAGAGTAAGTAGGCCCTCTCAAGGGAGCGTAAGTGATGTTCCATATTAACCACAGACTGTCCTCTCCACTTTTAGCAAACATGGTTTCCTTCATTGTTTTGTACTACAAATACATCCTTTTAGCAAAAGGCTAGAATTTTATTCTTTCAACTTCAAGAACTTTGGAAATGCAAACTTTTTGTTATTACCAACTTTTTGTTTCTCATTACTGAAGAAAATTGGAGGAAAATCTTCACACTGAATTCTTCTGTTGCCTTTTTCTTACAGAATGACTGAAAATTTGAAAGAAAAACTTATAAAAGTGCACATATGCAACTGTGTTCTCTGTTTTCCTAGAAAACCAAAATCAAACTGAGATTTCAAGTCCTACTGTGGAATACCTTTCTGTTTAATTCCCAAAGTGACACCTTCTCACAGGTAGTATGTTAGTAAAATTTTGCAATTCAGTGGTCACACAGCTCCTGGATGAAGATAACAGTTGGTAGACCAAAAAGTGACCTTGCTTAGTATATTGAAAACACATACCACACATCACACACAGAACTGAATCATACCACATGCTGCCTATGGGACTTCAGTTACTGTTTCCTGAGTTACTGTTTATCCGCTGGCAATGGTGTGATTTGTCTGGATCAGATCCGCGCTGTTCCCCAACCCACCTCCAGATAATGTGAGAAAATAGCCATGTCAGTATGTAGGAACTCTGATGGTGCTCAGATTTGTGTGTTCAATCAATGGGCCTAAATCAGTAATCATTATGCCTAAGGTAAATCTGTTCTTAACAAGGGCTATACCACTGCATTTTGACATGTACCCTCAGGGGGTTATCTTTTTTTTTCCCCACCTGTTTTAATGAGCAAAATCCATACCAAAACAACAACAACAACGCCCTCTTAAGGAACCACCCTTTGGTCAATCATCACATGCTGTTTAAAGCAGCTGTTTACAGGATGTGTAGTGGTATGCCCCTTGTCATAAATTCTTAGCATATTTTTTCTTTGGCTTTGCATGGCTTTTCCTCAGGTACTCTCCCGGTCACCGAATGGTGACTTCATTTGTGCTAATAGTACAACAGCAGATTTGGATCAGGCTTAATCTAAGTGTTAACTTTTTTTTCCTGGTGCTTTTTTGGATTGATGACTGTCTCACTTTGACTATATCCATGTTTTGCATGCAATTAACTTTTTTTTTCTGGTGCTTTTTTGGATTGATGACTGTCTCACTTTGACTATACCCATGTTTTGCATGCAATGACTCATGCATGGTTTTCTTAACTAGCTAATATAAACAATTTGTTCCATATAAAAATGGAATTTTGCAACATCCTTTAATAAGGTGAGGGAAGCATGAACCTCAGACTTCTGGCACTATTACATAGTAAGCACATGAAGTAGTTTGATAATAAATAGCAGTTCTAGTACTTCACATTTCACCCGTGTGTGCAATGCCTTTTTTGGGGGCGGGGGGAGGGGTGAGGGAAAACCCAGTCGTGAATGTGTAGTTGGGGAATAAAGAAAAGCACTAAATCCTGCCCTTTTTGTGTGGTTTCCTTTTGATACAACTAGGTTATTCATAATGTATACCTAGAAAAGTGAAATTGAAAATGCCAAAAGATGTATCATTTTTATTTGAATTCGTCATGCAGTGTACATTTCAGATAATTTCCTTCAGTCTCCAGATAGGAGTGTATCCAAACATCTAATTTTGTGTGCACTGTGTATTTTATATGAATGTTTTATTTTATATACCACATGCAAAAATGTCCATATGCACTATTTAAATGTTTTAAATAATATATTCCTTCTTTATAATGCTAAATCTATATGAGTACCATATTTTTATAAGTCAGTGGCCTGACTGGTTTCATTTTAGAATTAACAGCTGCTTCATGATGTTATTCAATGTTAATGTTTGGCTGTGAGTAGAATATGTAAAAGTGGCATGGCAGCACTTATGCTCTGTGACAGTATTGTGTGTCATAGTTGACCAGTAGCTGGTAGAATTAGGCAGTTGGTGATAGTTTTACTTTGGTACAAATAAAAACTGTATATCTATATACAAATAATATATAGATATATATATGTCCACCAGTATAATTGCATTGCTGTGTCTGGCACTTCATTGTACAGACTTTTGTAATAAAAGAACTCGAAAGTTCTAAGTCATTGTAAATGTATGTTTGTTTTTCCATTGGGCTTAAAAAAAAAGTCCCCAAGTGTTCCGTCACCCTTAGGCTTTGTTTAAATGATCCCACCTGGGGGCTGTGGTAGGGAACAACAGGGTCACTAAACTATTTGGCTGGTTACAACTCTGGGAAATGGTAAGGCAGGGAAGGGCCATGTTATTCATTCCCTTGTGCAAATCTAGGGAGAAGCCGCAGATAGAACAGTTAGCATTTCTTGTTACAATGAATTATCCCATTAAGAACATTTGATGTACGGTCTCTTAAGAGAAGAGCTTGTCCTGAGGAAGGTGAGTAGTAATCTAAAAATGTCTTTATATTCGAGTTTTAAAATTCAGGGACTATTGAGCACCAGTGTGGAAGTTGAGTGCTAAGGTCAAATGATATTGCTTGGGCTGAGAGAACATGTGGCTATTGTAGGGGGGCTTACATAGCCTAGAAAAATTAGAAGAATTTCTCTCCAGTTTCCAAAATGCCAAAGTGTAGAACAAACTCCTCAGCCACCTACAGAAATTTCACTAACATCTTCAAACTGGAAACTTACCTAGACCATTTCTAAGGTGTAATGCATTTAAGGTTTCCCCAAAATAAAATGCAGAGCAGGGTAGGCGTATCAGTGTCATAAGAAGTTATGTTTGGAAAGTGTAAATGAGGTTGCTGTAACAGCCTTATTTGGAGGGTTGGAGAGTTGTGTGTGGCTGGCATTTTGGAGGTTACTTTGGTCTTATATAATGGTTTCCCAGAATCCTAAGCCTTTATTGATTCATCTGTGGCCAAAGGAATTCATAACATGTACATGATGCACTTGATAGCACCAATAGTTTTTCTACTCTGTGACTTGGAAAAAACTGTCTTTATCTACTTACTGAACTACTGGAGACCTGCCCCATGAACTAGAAGCATTTTCTTGTATTTTTCTTTCACTTTTCTAGAATTTGATAAGAAACCTCATTATAAATCCTTTGTACCAGTGTGTGTATACTGGAGGCTTGTCATAATATGCATGGATTGTACAGTGAGTCCCTGTCAGAGGCACTTAATTCTGACCCTGAGGATAGTTTGATAGATTGGTTAGTACTTTTTAAAGTGTGCCTGAAACGCGTACAAGTTTATGAAGTAATACATGAATAAGAAATGCTCAGTGATTGCATCACAGATTCTTACCTCCACTTGTCTCAGTACTAGAGAGCTGAAACCTTTCTCATCACTTGATTTAGCTTCAAATTGATGTAGTGTAATTCCTTCTCCAGCTCCACAGCATATAAAAAGAGTCTAGAAAATTTACAAGGAAGTAGAGAATGAGTCAGTAATACACTTTTATGTATAGACAGCAAGTTACTAGTTTGAAATGCTTTGGGAAGGTAGTATTGTAAGCTCCTAAAACGTGCTTCTTGTGACCAGTAATAGATCTAATATTCTAAAGCTGTGTGGAGAACAGTATCTGCTATGCAAATCAAATATAAATGGCAGTTTCTGTTATTTAGAGATATGGGGATGTAATCAAAAGCTTCTCACCTTTTAAGCAAATGGAGTCATATGCAACTTTAAAATTGGATAGAAAATAAAGGCATCCCGATAGAATGAGGTTTTAGGTTCAGGAAAATAATGTGTTTAACTCATGTCCTTAATGCCCATGTCATGATATCCCATAATACTCTGGTTAGAACATAAGCTTACTCTCGAAATTCTTCTTGAGTGACAGGCTGGTAGTCATCTTGAATTTCTGTGGAATAATACTTTTTCTCAAGCCTCTCTTTCCATTTTTTCATCTGCTCTGCCTTTTGAATCTCCTGTCAGGGTAGAGGACAAGTAAAGGCTGCAATCTTTAGTTCTCTATTTCAAGTTTTTGGCACACAAGCATCACAGGGTTGAGGATCTTAAGCTGTTCTCCTCTCCAGCCCTCAGATTTTAAGCCCTGCTGGCTTTTTGTCCTGCCTGGGTGTGCGTCAGCGAAGTCACTTCAGAGGACTTGATTGGTGTAATTGCTGTCTAGCATAGTTAGGGAAGCTTTGTAAACAAATTATAAATTACTCGCATTTCACTGCCTTTTTCCTTTAGCATCTCCATCTGAATTATTTTCTCTTTCTTTTGGTCAAAGGTAAGATGTTCTTTCCATACCTCTGTTCTTCAGTGTAGCAAATGTACTAGTAATTAGATTCAAAGTGTATCTGTGGGTATGTTTGGCCTTTCTAGCAGCTTTTCAGCCAGATGACTTCAAAACCCCCTCTTTGTAATTACTGCATTGGTTAGTCAATGTGTGTACTCCAATCTGTCTACATATCCAAAAACAAGCCATTTGTACCACCAAAAATTGTGTTGCTGAACCTTTCTGTGCACTGTTCTCACTACCACCCGCTTTCCTTAGGGTGTCCAAATACCCTTTTCCCAGCTACAGATAAAAAGGACCTGTATGTTGTGGAAAATAACCATAGCGCTAGAAAAGGTGAAGAAAGAGGAGACAGTGCACCCAGATGTGATTCAAAACCTTCTCAGTAAATTGGTATGATACTTCCCTGCACCAGCAATAATGCCAGGTAGCAAAGTGGATCCCTTTATAAGGGTTCTGATTACCTTCCTCAGAGAGGTTGGTGATGCCTAGTGCCGTACACTCTGTGGTTGCTTCATAAGTGTGTACTTTTCTGGTCAGAGAAACTGTCTTAGACAGTGCCTTTCTTTAAACCAACATATTCTTTTTTTTTTTTTTTTGAGACAGTCTCACTCTGTCGCCCAGGCTGGAGTGCAGTGGCATGATCTCGGCTTACTGCAACCTCTCTGTCACCCAGGCTGGAGTGCAGTGGCTCAATCTTAGCATTCAAAGTGGAAGTTGAATGCTAACCACCCCTTTTGGGTTCAAAGGATTCTCCTTCCTCAGCCTCCCGAGTAGCTGGGATTACAGGTGTGTACCACCACATCTGGCTAATTTTTGTATTCTTTTTAGTAGAGACGGGTTTCGCCATGTTGGCCAGGCTGGTCTTGAACTCCCAGCCTCAAGTGATCTGCCCGCCTCGGCCTCCCAACGTGCTGGGATTACAGGTGTGAACCACTGCACCCAGCCTTAAATGAACATATTCGAAGCAGGAAAGGATGGCTTTCAATCCTAGTTTTGTTTTGGACGCATTACAGCACCCATGGTTTGGCTCATTTACTAATACTTTTAATGTGCTAAAAAGTGGTAGTCCCTGAAACCATTTCTAAATGACCAGGCCAATTATAAAGTGGATGTGTTAGTAATAAAGGTAGAATAGCATAGTAAACTTATTTTAAAAACCCATCTCAGCCATCACTCTTTTTGTGAAGCCTTCCTTGACATTCAGAGGGAAGTGGTACCTTTCCTCATAAGCTGAGCACCAACTCTTCGGTGACCCTTGCTCCAAGCTCCTATGTCCTGGTCACCCTACCTCCTTCCCTTGTGGTAACTGCCTCCTGCAGTTGGTTGTCTGAATGATCTTCATGTTCATATTGGCCCTTATACTTCTGTAATATCTCAGAAGCAAATTCTGTATACTAAACTCCCTCTTTTTGAACTACCTAATGTGATTTCTGTTTTTCTGACAACTCTTAACTGATGAATAATTGGTAGCGGGAGAGACCCAAAGAAACAGACCCTCATAGATAGCATACTTCCACCAAGGGCACAACAGTTGACTTAAACTGAATTTGAGACTGCCACTTGACCATTTTGGATTCCTCATGCTTACAGAACCAGCAGGGAAAGAAGTGGTTATTTATGTATTGAGGTGATTGATCCGAATTACCAAGGGAAAATTGGATTACTGCTACAAACTAGCACAGTGTGGACTGTGCCTAAGGGATTCTCTGGGGTGCCTCTTAATACTTCCATGTCCAAAAGTAAAAGGTAATGGGAAACCACAGCATTCCGTTAAAGGCAGGACCACTGAGAGTTCAGATTCTAAGGTTAATCCTAAAGCAGCTAGCTGAGCTCTTGGCTGTAGGCAAAGGGAATGATAGGGAATGGGTAGGAGAAGGAAGTTATAAATACCAACTATAGCCTTGTAATCTGTTACAGAAACAGAATGTAGTCCCTATTCCTATTTCCTCCTTTGCTTGTTATGTGTATATTTTCTTTCTCCTTTATCTAAGGAATACTGGTGGTGGCTAACTAGTTTACATATTAGGTTGCAAAATATTCTTAAGGAATTGTGATTCAACTAGAAGAGGTCATAAAACATGCACAGATGGATACAATTACTGTTGGGACTTTGCGTCTCCCTTTTTAGGGAGAAGGTAAAAGTACCTTCATTTGTATAAAAGATAGTTTGATCTGACTGGATAGAAGCTTGGAATCGTCATTTTATGGAAGTGCAAATGTGTATGCCACAAGAGTGGAATGGACCAACTGTTCAGCTCAAAATTTACCCTCTTGTACACTGTGATGTTGGGTTTTAGGCTTTGTAAATTTCATTCCCTAAACTCTTAATAGCTGGATTCCTGTTAGAATAAATATAGAATAAATATTCTGCCAGTATTTGCAGGATATTGGGGAGAAAGGTGGTTTTTTTTGTGGTTTGTTTTGTTTTTTGTTCTGTTTCTATTGGCATTGCTTATGCAATGGTGGTTATCTCCAGCAGCAGTGGCTCCAGTTGTAGCATCTAGCTGCTTTTGGCATACTCAGAAGCAGCCTCATCACACCCACTCAAGAAGTACAGATTGAGTATCCCTAATCAAAAATCTGAAGTGTTCAAAATCCAAAACTTTAGCACCTCCATGACTCTCAAAGGAAATGCTCACTGGAGCATTTTGGATTTCAGATTTTTGAATTAGGAATACAGGCATATAATGCAGATATTCCAACATCCAAAAAAAATCTGAACTCTAAAACACTTCTGGGTCCCAAGCATTTTGGATAAAGAATACTCAACCTTTATCAGCAGCAGCAGTGAGGTACCTTCTCATCACAGGACTGAGCAACAGCTCCACAAGCCCCTTCTCTAAGATAGTAGGTTCTAGTAACACCACCTTTTGTGGTCTTAGCCCTAGGAATGGTAACCTTTTCCTGCAGTCATTATTTATGAGTTGCCTCAGTGTTGTCATTTCACTTTTTTCTGTCTTAATATCTGTGTAGTAACCAATTCACTGTAGTATATTTTCTCTATTTGAAATACATATTGTGGTTTCTTCCTGAGTGGGCTCTGACTGATAGATGTAGTACATTTTCTCATTTGGTCAGGTGTATTTTTGTGTCTTTTTTTTTTTTTTTTTTTTCTGAGACAGAGTTTCACTCTTGTTGCCCAGGCTGGAGTGCAATGGCATGATCTTGGCTCACTGCAATCTCTACCTCTCAGGTTCAAGCAATTCTCCTGCCTCAGCCTCCCAAGTAGCTGGGATTACAGGTGCTCACCACCAGGCCCGGCTAATTTTGTATTTTTAGTAGAGATGGGTTTCACCATGGTCACCAAATTCCTGACCTCAAGTGGTCCACCTGCCTCAAGTCTCCCAAAGTGCTGGGATTACAGGTGTGAACCACCATGCCCGGCTGTATTTTTGTGTCTTTAAGGAATATTTAAAGTTTTATCTTGGTTTTGAACATTTCGTTAATTGCTGGGCATTTTCTACTTTGTTGCTGTTACAAATAAAAATTAAAAATTTGTTAATTTTTAACAAACCAATTGATATTTGCATATATGATGTTTATGTAAGTTATTTTTCCTACCATTTTACCTAATTATCTTTTTTTTTTGTAATTTTTCAGATCATCGTATACCTAGAAAATTGAAGAGAATCATAAGGCAGTTTTACTTTTTTCAATTAGAAATACTTCTAATGGGGCCGGGCGCGGTGGCTCAAGCCTGTAATCCCAGCACTTTGGGAGGCCGAGACGGGCGGATCACGAGGTCAGGAGATCGAGACCATCCTGGCTAACACGGTGAAACCCCGTCTCTACTAAAAAAAATACAAAAAACTAGCCGGGCGCGGTGGCGGGCGCCTGTAGTCCCAACTACTCAGGAGGCTGAGGCAGGAGAATGGCGTGAACCCGGGAGGCGGAGCTTGTAGTGAGCTGAGATCCGGACACTGCACTCCAGCCTGGGCGGCAGAGCGAGACTCCGTCTCAAAAAAAACAAAAAAAACCAGAAATACTTCTAATGTAGTTCTCTTATCTAATTGTTTTGACTTTACCCCTCTGATACATCACTATCTTGTCCCTGACATGTTCAATGTTTTCCTATTAAGGTGAAGAGGATAAGATTAATGTTTTTATCATATTAAGGAAGTATCGTTGATTTTTATTTTTCCCCTCAAGATTGGGTGTTGAAACTTACAAAATACCCAGCATTTGTGAAAAATGATCATGCAGTTTTCCTTTTTTAATGCAATGAATTATGTTAATTAGTTGATTACCCAATTTTGAGCCATCTTTTCATGCCTAAAATAAATACTGTCTGAATCTTGATTATTGTTGCTGTTAGATTCTATCTGCTAATATTTAGGATTTTTGCTTCAAGATTTATACATGAGATTTTCTGTTTTTGGCACAATATATAGTAGTTTCATAAACATAATTTGGGAGTTTCTCTTTTCTCTTTGCCAGGGCAAAGAGGAATGGCTTAAATAGCTTGAAACTGTTTGCTCCTTAAAATCTTGTAGAATTTCTTTGTGAAGACCATCTGATTTTGGAGACAGCTCTTTGATGACTTCATTTCTTCTACAGAATGGATTTGTTTAGGCTTTTTATCTTCTGGGCTCAGTTCTGATAAATTTTATTTGCATAGAAATATTACCCATTTCATTCAGTTTTTCAAATGTTATTTTCATAGAATTACACAAAGTCTCT